TAATGCTCTGATACCACTAAATGTAATATCCTACATCAGTATGACACACAGTCGACCGATGAGAGCACCACACGAAACCACCGGAATGGCTAATAAAAAATTTTCTTAAACATGCTCAATTAAATAAACAATTTTTGTCAAATACTTATAATAAAATATGCAATAATATTCATACGAAATGGTTTACAGTTGGGAGCTCCCATAGATATACAAAAAATATACAAATCATGTGTTTAAAATAATTTACGACTCGAATTTAAAAAATGAGACTTCGAATATACATGCTCTTTAATAAATTCGAGACGTACTCTGCTCTGTTGTCTGGTCTGGATTTTCTTCTGGTCAAAAAAGGCTTCTCTACTAATCTTCACCTAATCTGCGAAAGGAAACAAATTCTAAACGCTGAGCTAACTAGCCAAGTGTCACACTAATCTGGATTTTCTAAACGCTGGTCAAAAATATAATGTTGTAACAACTAATAGAAAATACAATAAATCTAATCGTTACAACATTAGTGAATATCCTTGCGGTATTCACTCTCTACGTTATGGTAGACATCATGGTACACTGAGGGATTTCTGCATCTCATAGCTCACACACTCCTCTAGTCTACTGAGGATATGGCCCCCAAAATCTCTGCATCGGACATCATACCCCCAACTAGCCCACCACTTACGAGCGTCGGACCTTGCGCTCTATCTAGTCTTTTTAAAGGTCTTGCACCCTACCTAAGGATATTTGGATTGATTCTATACTTCGACACCCTGAACTAAAGGAACTCGGGTGTCCAAATTATTTCCCGAGCATCAAGCAATGCTAGTTTTATTTGCCCCTATTTTATCTTGTTTCTACGTTCGAATTAATCATTTTATTTTTTTGTTCTCACTTTTAGTCTTATTTAGGAGTAATTATAATTCATTGAGAACCTCACTAGCCTTTACAATCCTTTAAATTTATATCCCAAAATAAATTTTTGGTACAGATACTGGCCATATAGTATTGATATTATCCGTTGGGTATCGATATCCTCCTCAAGGTATCGATACTCATTTACCAAACTTTCTTGTTTAAAAAGTGAAAGTATTGATACTCATATAGGAGTATCGATACTAGAACCCTAGGTATCAATACTCCCTTGAGTACCGGTATAAAACTAGCATTATGGAATTTTAGGTCTCGATACCAGGCTCACTGGTTTCAATACCGAGCCATCAGTATCGATACTCCTTTTAGGGGTATCGATACTGCCCTCATAAAACTCATACTTTAAGCCTAAAACATGAAGAGTATCAGCACTGACCCTCCAATACCGATATTTATACTCGAAATTTCCTTATATGGGCACATGAACTCACTCACATTACTACCTAAAGGTTCCCAATTGTCCTTAATGTTTTATGTAAACAAGTAGGGTCATAAATAAGGATGTTGAGAATGCTTATAACTCAAAACATATAATCTACCGTGAAAGAAATATATCATAGTTCAACTAAGCTTTTCAATAATACTATAACTCTAATGACTCACAATGAGTATAAGAGAGTTGTAAGGGTGGATACCTTGTATTCTTTGCTAAATATAAAGCCTCAATCGTTCTAGAGGTGTTTTTCCCTTTCCTTTGGCTTTTGAAGTGTCTCCTACCTTTTTCACTATTCAAAGTTAAGAAAAAAGAAATTTTAAGTGAACCAAAATGATTTAAATAAGAAGGTAAACATTTTTTATGACTTAAATCTATCAAGGAAACTTGGAATCAAAGATTTCTATTGTGCCTCTCTAAAAACTCATTTTGGAAACTAAATGAAAACCATGAGAAATGTGACTTAATCTAAAGCTTGGAAGATAGTGACTTACAATATTACCTTGCTCAACAAAATAGGATGAAATTGTTGGGATCTTGACTCTTGAAAGGAAAAAGGAAAAAGGAAAAAGGAAAATACTAGCAGAAGAGAAGAAGAAGAGTTGGTATGGAATTAGGCAAGTTCAAGTGTTCTGATGTAAAAATAAGGGGAAAGTATCTAACTTCAACCCCAATGGTTAAAATATACTTTAAGTCCTTCCACTTCCTTATTCCTATAATTTACATCACCTTTCACAACTCTTTTGGGCCTAACTCAGACCAAATCCCATAAAACCTTGTCCTTATCATTTTAATAATTTCTTTTGGGCTCTAAAATGGATCTCAGGTTGACTCAAACTATTAGCCCGGGTTTCGGGGTATTACAGACCATGATTTTTAAAACCGGACCGGTCAGCGAACTAGCCTTGCTATCGGTTCACTGGTTCAACCGGTCGAACCGGTCAGATCGGCCGGAAGAATCGGACGACGTCATAATCAATTATTTATTTAAAAAATTAAATAAAAAAATTAATAAAAAACAGTTCTTTTATATCACAAGTCATATTCAAAGCAAGTTATAACATATATAAATTAAAAATCATAAAATCAAGTGAAACAAAATGATTCAAATCAACTACAACATAATATTTAAGGTAAAACATATTAAATAATAAATATAATTATATAACTATAATAAAAAAATGGGGGCTAAAAAAATCATAACAAACGATGTCGTTTGGTTTAATTTTTTTTAAAAAATCTCACATGACTAAGAAACATAGAAGAACATCACAAAAGTCTAAAGAGTAAAAATATAAAAACAAAACAATCCCACATGGCTAAGAAACATAGAAGAGCTTCCCAACTGACTTCTATAAATAATAGAGGTAATTTGTCATTCAAAATCATGGAGCCTTTTGGTGAGCACAGAGCGAACTATTTTTTTGCTTCAATTGAGCTTCTAATTTTTTTTTGAGTTCGAGCCTTTTTGAGTTCAAGTTTCAATATTATATTTAAGTTCGAGTTGAACTTGATAATTTTTAGCTCGTGAGTTTTTGAGTCGAGTTGAGCTTACTTTTAAATTTTTCGAGTTCGACTCGGTTCGTTTAACAAACGACGTCGATTGATTTAATTTTTTTTTTAGAAAAAAAAAACAGAACCGGTTTTCAACCGGTTCGAACGGTTCAGAGTCGGTTCAACGGTTCCTTCCGATTCACTAGTAGTTGTTTAACCGGTGTAGAATGAACCGGACCAGGCAGCGGTTCCCGGTTGAACCGACCGATCCGGTCCGGTTTTCAAAACACTGTTACAGACCTTGCACTACAAATAGGCATGCAATCGTGGTGAAAATAGCAAGACTTGGAGCAAGGGTACACACATGCTCTCTTACCGAATCCGAGCTCGAAGATTATTTATTCGGATGGAAAGCAAAGGGTTTCCGTGTGACAGGTTCAGTGTGTGATGTTTCAGATCGAGCACAAGGGAATACTTTTTGAACACTGTTTCATCCGAGTTCAATGGCAAGCTTAACATCCTGGTAAAACGAATACCATTAACCAGAACCGAAATCCGAAACGATACACGGAGATGTATCGATTAACACTATGAAAATTTTGCAGATAAATAACGTTGGAACAAACATAGGGAAAATGGTGTCGGGTTACACAGCGGAAGATGTCGCGATTCTAACTAGTACCTACTTCGAGTCAGCTTATAATATCAGCGTACTAGCTCATCCTCTTTTGAAAGCTTCATCAGCAGGAAGCATTGTGTTCATCTCTTCAATCACTTCTACCATGCCTACATATTTTGCGCCTATATATGGAGCCAACAAAGGTATTATTTCGCATCTAAACTCGATTATCCGTATATCTAATAGTTTTGTAATCGTATTTAAGATGTTATAATCGTGTCGCGGTTCGTGTACTTTATATTTATATAAATGTTAACTAGGTAAGAATGGTTTGATTTTGTTGCAGGGGCCATGAACCAACTTACAAGATGCTTGGCATGTGAGTGGGCAGGAGATAATATCAGGGTCAATACTGTTGCACCTGCCGTGCTCAAAACTCCACTTGCTCAACCTGTAAAACTATTTTTTTGAACTTGATAATTTAATATTCGAGATCGAGTGTCAATATTCTTTTATTTTAAAAAAATTTACTCGAATTCGAATATCTTTGGACTTTATGTGTTTGGTTACCACATTGGACTCAACATTTAGCATGATCATAATTTCACTTCTATCATGCATACTTTTTCTGTTGGCAGTTCTTTGAAGGTCATGAAGAACAAATAGAGACAACCATAAGTCGAACACCAATAGGGCGGCTTGGGGAGCGAGACGAAGTATCGGCAATGGTGGCGTTCCTCTGCCTACCGGCGGCTTCATATATAACAGGGCAGCTTATAAATGTTGATGGAGGAATGACGACGAATGGCATCTACTTTCCACAAATTACCAAACATTAAATCTTTTAAAATAAGTTTATAGTTTAAATTGTAGCACAATAAATGAAATAAATTATGTTAAAGAGTATCTCAAAATTTTACGCAGTGGGACTAAAACTATAATTCAACAAAATAGGCTTGAAGTAGATTCTTTATCGTGTTAGGTCTTGGACATGTATTTATAATTTAGTGTATATGCCTATGTTAATATTAATATTAATATTGGAATAAATTGACAATTAAACCCTTATGGAAAAACTTAATCCATACAATTTAATACTTTAAGAAAATAATTAGGATTATTTTAGTGCTTTATATTAGGTTTGATTATAGTTTCAATCCTTCTATTACCTTGAAATTTAAGATTTAATCTCTATTATAAATTAATATAATTCGTTCACACTTTTATAATATTATTAACATTTCTAAATTAACTGAATTGCGATATTTAGAGTTATCTTTTATAAAAAAAAATCAAACCATGTTCTACAATTAAAAATATTATTTTATTAGAACTATTAGTTCAACAACAAATTATTATAGTAATGGACTCCACAATTTTCATTTGTTTAAGTTTCCTATACAAATTGAAATTTGTAAGGGTTTCATTGTATAATTATTAATTATTTTCCATATTGGAATGTAGTTGAATTTAGAGTACTGAAATGATAAAATATACTTGTGAAGGTACTAAACTGCAATTAAACAGATAATAATCTAAAATACTTGAAAAGCAAAATATTCATTACCCTCATATGGGTAACATATTCCCAAAAAATACAAAACGAAGTTTTGAAAACAGATTCCTTAAAACATAAATTGCAGAAAACATAAAAATATAGCACCCAACAGAAGCTGTTACTAAGCTTAATATTGGGTTTAATCGACTTCCTCGATCTTAGGACTTGCACCGCTTCCACCGGCAGGAGGGGCATCATCGTCCATGCCGCCACCCATGTCAGCCCCTGCACCTTGGTACATCTTGGCGATGATGGGATTGCAGATACTCTCAAGCTCCTTCATCTTATCCTCGAACTCATCGGCTTCGGCTAGCTGGTTCCCATCCAACCACTGGATGGCTCCGTCAATGGCGTCCTCAATCTTCTTCTTGTCAGCCGGGTCGAGTTTGGATCCGATCTTCTCGTCGTTGATGGTGTTCCTCATGTTGTAGGCATAATTCTCCACAGCATTCTTGGCTTCAACCTTCTTCTTGTGCTCCTCGTCCTCAGACTTGTACTTCTCGGCCTCTTGAACCATCTTCTCGATTTCTTCCTTAGACAAACGACCCTTGTCGTTTGTGATTGTAATCTTGTTCTTCTGGCCGGTAGTCTTGTCCTCAGCAGATACATTCAAGATGCCGTTGGCATCGATATCAAAGCAAACTGTGATTTGGGGTACACCCCTGGGTGCCGGAGGAATGCCGGACAGCTCGAATTTACCCAACAGGTTGTTATCCCTTGTTCTAGCTCTCTCACCCTCATAGACCTGGATCAAGACACCCGGCTGGTTATCTGAGTAAGTCGAAAAGACCTGCTCCTTCTTTGTCGGAATAGTAGTGTTTCTCGGGATCAAAACAGTCATAACACCACCGGCTGTCTCGAGTCCAAGAGACAAAGGAGTGACATCCAAAAGCAATAGGTCCTGAACCTTCTCGTTTCCTTCACCGCTCAAGATGGCAGCCTGAACTGCTGCACCATAAGCAACGGCCTCGTCGGGATTAATGCTCTTGCAGAGCTCTTTCCCATTGAAGAAATCTTGCAACAACTGCTGCACCTTTGGGATCCTAGTCGAACCACCAACAAGGACAACATCATGAACACTGCTCTTATCCATCTTAGCATCCCTCAAACACTTCTCGACCGGCTCCATACACTTCCTGAAAAGATCCATGTTGAGCTCTTCAAACCTAGCACGAGTAATTGTGGTGTAAAAATCAATACCCTCGTACAAGGAATCGATCTCAATGGTAGTTTGGGCAGTCGACGAAAGGGTCCTCTTCGCTCTCTCACAAGCAGTCCTCAACCTCCTCAATGCTCTAGGGTTTCCACTAATATCCTTCTTATTCTTCCTCTTAAATTCTTGAACAAAATGGTTAACCATCCGATTATCGAAATCCTCCCCACCCAAATGGGTATCACCAGCAGTTGCCTTAACTTCGAAGATGCCTTCTTCGATGGTAAGCAAGGAAACATCAAAAGTACCGCCGCCCAAATCGAAAATCAACACATTTTTTTCACCGACACTGGAGGCCTTCTTATCAAGACCATATGCAATGGCAGCGGCCGTCGGCTCGTTGATGATACGCATGACATTAAGACCGGCAATAACTCCGGCATCCTTGGTGGCTTGCCTTTGGGAATCATTAAAGTAAGCCGGCACGGTAACCACCGCATTCTTGATCGTGGATCCGAGGTAAGCCTCAGCAATTTCACGCATCTTGATTAACACCATGGATGATATTTCCTCAGCAGCAAATTGCTTCTCCTCGCCCTTGTAAGTGACAACAATCATGGGCTTATCACCAGGACCGGCGATCAGCTTAAAAGGCCAAAGCTTCACATCGCTTTGAACCGATGAATCACTGAATCTTCTGCCGATTAATCGCTTAGCATCTGTTTTTTAAATAATTACAACAAAAAAAATTCAGTCAGCAAAATTATACCAAATCCAACTCTCGTAAATTCTTCTAATCATATAATGACGTCATAAATAACAACAGAGTCCAAAGTTATAAGTTTAATTGCAAAAATGGTATAAATTTCCCAGTCAACAAAATTAAACAGTGAAATCAACTCTTCTAAATTCTAGCTAATAGAATAATGACGTCATAAATCAGTAAAGGCATGCAAAGTCTCAGATCTAAATCTAAAGCAGAATTAAAAAAAATCAAAAGAATAAACAGGGATTTACCGAAGACGGTGTTGATAGGATTCATGGCGACTTGATTTTTAGCAGCGTCGCCGATTAAACGCTCGGAATCGGTAAAGGCGACGTAAGACGGCGTCGTACGGTTGCCTTGGTCGTTGGCGATGATTTCGACTCGGTCGTGTTGCCATACTCCGACGCACGAGTAAGTCGTGCCGAGATCTATTCCGATCGCCGGTCCTTCTCCTTTTCCGGCCATCTCTTAAAAATTCCAACGAAAATCGAGAGATGAAAACGGGAGAAAATAAAGAGAGATTCGTTTGTTCTTTTGAATAGAACTGTGTGGTTTACCAATAAGGGGTAGTGATTTTATATGCTTTAAATTTTGTTGATCAGGGTTCTGGAATGTTCCGATGGGAGAATGGTGATTTTGAACCCTTGGATTTGAAAGAATAAACGGTGCAGATTTGTTTTTTAGATTTTTAAAAAGGTAGCTGGGATCCACTACGTGTCTTCAGTTGCGTGTTTCTGGCGGTTTAGAATTTTTTACTTTTCTTTGAAGATGTCGGCCATAGGCTTTTAATGGGAATGGTACCATGTTCGTATCCAAACCCGACCCGGATTATGACCATAATTTTAGAGATAATTGTATAGGATGTCCTCAAATTAAAATATTCATTCTAAATTAATCCTTAAAAATTAAAATATTCATATCAATCTTCAAACAATGAACCCATTCTAGTTTGATCCCTAAATTTTACAATATCCAGTATCAATCCTCAAACTATTTGTTTTCCAATTTAATCATTTTGTTAATATACTTTTAACTCTACTCATTAAAAAGTTATGTTTTAAGGTCATCAAAATTCAGCTTGTGTCTTACAAAATTTCCAAGAGCTTCATAAATAGATTATTTTTTTTTCCAAAATGTACATGTTCAATTATCATTACCTTAAACATATAATTTTTTTAGAATATCATGTGTTTAATTCTCAAGACCTTCAAAAATAAATTAATTTTTAACCTGTGGAGTTAACAATACGTTAATAAAAAAATAAAAATAAAATAATACTAATAATCTGATAATTGATTTAGAATTCTTTAAAGTTTAGAGATCAATTTAAAATTAGGTTATAGTTTAGGGATTAAAATAAAATATTTTAAATTTTAAAAACTAATGTATAATAAGAGCCATAGTTTAGAGATTAATATGAAACTTACCACATTATTACTTTATAAATTAATTTGATATAATAAACCTTAAGCGACGATGATGGCCATGAAGGGGTGATTTTTACAATAATGCAGTGGAAAAAAATGTTCGAATAAGACATTCTCGAAATTATTTCTTCAAATAAGGTGAGTGTTATAGTATATCCCAAAGATGCATTACAATTCATGTGAGTCTAATATAAATTTAGGGGAGATGCATAGAGTGCAATGTGTCTCCCATATTTTTTTTCATATTCCAATTTTTATTTAAGTTTTAATCATTATATAAAAATGGGGAAGGCTAAAATTGGGGGTGGGGGAGGAGGAGAGACATATTGGGGGTGGGGGAAGAGGAGAGACATATTGTTGTTTGGGGAGGGAGAGTCGTATGGTATTCCATGCGACCTTGGGGAGATGCGGAGATTACAATGCGACTTCGATGTGTACTATAGCATTCACCTCATTTGAACAAATAATCTCTCGGGTATCTTATTTGAACAAAAAAATAGATTGCGTTATTGTAAAAAAATCACCCGCCATGAAGAGATAAACAATAATGAAATATTGTAATGCTAAAATTCAAATAAAAATATTATTTTTATTTCTCTTTAATGATTTATGAAGTGTAGAATATAAAAAAAAACACCATATCATTGCTGGATTAGTATTGCACCAACCTATATAAAATAATAAATGAATAAAGTGACTCGCAACAAAAATGTTAGGTGATCAAAATGTAAACTTACTCGTAGTTAAATAACCTAAATACAAACTTTCACTCGAAAAGATAATGTACGTTTAAGATTTATCAACTCGATTAATTGAGTGACTCAAAAAGTTTAAAATACAATAATCCTATTATAAACTTATTAATAATTGAGTGACTTGTAATGCAAATAATGAAGTGATAATCTAAAAAAATTATTAATCTACACATGTATAATAAGACAACTTATCTCATTTTTAATAATTTATTAAACATAAATTCGAATATATTAACCAATGTCTATGAGATGAAGCGATAAAGAATTTGATATCTCTTAAATAAGAAATTAAGTTCAAATTTTGTGAATAAAAAAACAATTTTGAGAGAATTTTATTTGGTTTAAGAATCTAACCCAACTCGACTTTTAATGTTAAAAATATTTATTTATCACCCTTTTTTCCCGAGGAAATGCAGCAAATGCTCTTTAGAGGTGCTTTCCTAGTTGATTTTTTTATTTACATGGATTTTAAAAATACATAATTAGACACCTAGTTCCCTAGTTATTTTTTTCGAATAAGAATGAGGCCGTAGCTAGTACATCAAATGCTTATACGAACATGAGGAGGGCCATGAAGATCCTGTTCCAAAATTGGCAGTAAGGAGCTCGGAGGATGATCAATGATGCTAAAAGAAGGGTCCCGGTGAATCATGAGTTTGGCTAGGTGATCTGCTGCAAAATTAGCTTCTCTACGAATGGCAACGAACTCAACCATCCAAGGATTTGAGCACAAGACAACAATGTTCCGGACGAGCGTAAAAGGGCTCGACAAATACGGTGGGAGAGGACCTCGAAAACATGTGTTATCGGTTTGAACCAGGACATACTTGAAACCTTTAGAGCACGCACGTTGCAAACCGTCGTACTGTAACACCCTAATTCAGTTAGACCCAAAGATCTATGGATTACAATATTACACGAGACTACTAAAATAGTGACCCAAAAGTTTCTTTTAAAATTGCTTGTAAATCTAAAAATATTAAACATTCATAATGTAATATAAAAACATAATAATAAATTGGGTTTACAAATAATGGGGAGCTCCTAAAATACATCCGCAAAATAATATAAAATATTGAGTTTCAAAAGAGTTAAATATTGAATATATAACAAGGTTCATAACAGTACATGCCCTCTTAAGATGACTCAATATGTACTCTGAAAGGTCTCTATAAATCTGAATTTGCTGCACTGGAATATCTTATGACGATAGCTCCCCACGACCTACTCCCTAAGAACTTGTGCACAGAAACATATTCCGAACACTGAGCTTACGAGCTCAATGCCTCACTGAAAATTGTATTATACTATATTCATTTACTAGATGAAGTGACAAGTGGCACAGGTCTGAGTGTATAACTATTGGTCTGCTAATCTGTGGATGACATCATGGTACAGCTGAGGGATTTTGCATCTCGGAGCTTACGCACCCCTCTAGCACTGCCAAAGCACCATCGGGTACTCCTAGGTGAGATCCATAATTCTGCATTGAAACGTACACCCGCCGACTTACTCCGTCGAGTCTTGGGGCATCTGCACCCAGTTGGCTATTATAGTGTCATGGCACTGCCTTGGATCCACTGACTGTCGTATTTTTGTTGAAAAGAACTTGGGTGTCCTGATTGTTTCCCGAGCGTCAATCAAGACTAGTTTTATGTAAACCTAGCTATTTCTATTTCTACTCTTATGATATTAATTATTGTTCTCACTTGAAGTCTTATTTGAGGATATATTGAGGTGTTGAGGTACCTCGAGTCTAATTCCTTTAAAAACTGGTATTTTGTCAAAACAGACTGAAAGTATCAATACTAACCCAAGAGTATTGAGACTCCTGAAAAAAGTTTTGATACTTTATATAAGTAGTGATACTTTTAAACATTTTGTCCTGCCTAGTTTCGAAACTTTCCGCGAGTTTCGAAACTATGACCCAAAGTATCAATACTCTTGAAAGATTATCGATACTCTTGCCCAGAAACTCACAAGTTTACCCGAGAAGAAAAACAAGATTCAATATTATCCCTATAATATCGAAACTCAACCTGTAAAGAGTATAAAATAGGTGTAAAAACTCATATTCTACTATCCCAAACACCTTAGTGAGGTCCCCAAACATTATTAATGTTTTATGAAGATACAAAGGAGCATAAGTAGGATATTAGACATGTTTATAACTATAAAACATGAAATATACCATGAGAATGCTTCAAGCTTATACAACCTACTACATTTCATCTAAATGACTTACATATGATAAAGTTGATTCAAGAGTAAGTTACCTTTGATGATATACTACTGGAAATGTCAAAGACTCAGCCAAAAGTAGACTTTTCATTCCCCTTAGCTTTGGATCCCTCTCCAATATCTTACACTAAACAAAATCAAATGCAAGGGTTACTGATTATTGCTAGGGATTAATGAGGGTTTTAAAACACTTCCTAAGACTAGAAATATCTGAAAAATGGGTTGGAATCATCTAGTTTCTTAAACCCTTCTAAAAATCATTTTTACAACCATGGCCAAAGTTTGATCTTAAGGACTCAAATGAATGCTCAATAGGTGTTGTTTTTGGTTCTTATGATGAAATAGATTGAAACTAAACCAAAGCCTCCACCTTTTCTCAAGAGAATGATGAAGATGAAGAAGAAAACTTGGTAGAAGAAGACAAATGTGAAGAAAAACAGAAGTTGGAAATTCATACGGTGATATCACCAATTTTTAATGAAAATCAATTTTATTTTTGGACAAGGATATAGTTGCATCTTTGGTCCCTCCAATTCTGACTGTAGATTAAAAACACTCTTTTTATTTCACTATTTGACTCAAATCAAGCCCAAATCCTCTTCAATTTGGGTCAAGGCTTCCTAAAAGCTAAGGAATTAAACCAAGGCCCATCTCGGGTTAGCCTAATATTTCTAACTCAGGATTTGGGATGTAACAAATCTCTCATCCTAAATAAAATTTCATCCTCAAAATTTACCTGGTAGAAGAGGTGAGGACAATAAAGCTTCATGTCCTCCTCTGTTTCCCACGTTGTTTCCTCAACGCCATAGTACCTCCATAGCACTTTGACCAAAGAAATCCTCTTGTTCCTTAACTCCTTCACTTAGCTTGCCAAGATTTTGATTGGTTCTTCTGAATAGGTTATATATGAGCTGACCTCAATTTATTTTAAAGGTATGACGTGCGAAGGGTCGAAGTGATATCTTTTGAGTATAGATACATATAACACATTGTGAATGCACTCTAACTCTGATGGTAAAGCTAGTCTGTAAGCCACTGGTCCAATGCTCTCAAGCACCTTGTAAGGTCCTAAGAAATGAGGATTCAACCTGCCCTTGCACCCAAAGTGGAGCACCTTCTTCCAAGGGGAAACCTTGAAGAATAACTTATCCCCAACTGCGAACTCGATGTCTTTACGCTTTAAATCTGCGTAAGACCTTTGTTTGTCTGAAGCTTCCTTAAGTCATTTTTGAATCAATCGAACCTTCTCCTCGGTCTCTCTAATTAAATATGAGCCTACAATCTTACCCTCACTGAGCTTAGTCTAACAAAGTGGAGTCCTACACTTTCGCCCATACAAGGCCTCATACGGAGCCATCTGAATGTTCGAGTAGAAGTTGTTGTTGTAGGAAAACTTTACTAACAGCAAGTGGTCCTCCTAAATACCCTGTAAATCGATGATAGTACACCTGAGCATATCCTTGAGAATTAGGATAACTCATTCTGATTGGTCATCTATCTGAGAATGGAAAACGGTGCTGAAATGTAGTTGGGTGCCTAGGGACTTATGCAAAGCTTCCTAGAAGCAAGAAGTGAAAAGAGGATCCCTATTTAAAATTATGGAAGTCAGTACAAAATGTAACATCACTATCTTACGGATATCCAATTGAGCTAACATCTCTAACGTAGAGTCCAACCTTATTGGGAGGAGGTGAGTTGATTTGATTAGGCGGTCTACTATGAACCAAACTATGTCATGTCTCTGTCTGGTCATTGGTAACCTGGTCACAAACTCTATGGTCACCCTGTCATATTTCCTTTGAGGTATTTGAATGGGCTGAAGCAAACCTGAGGGGACCTGGTGTTTCGCCTTAACCTGCTGACACACTAGACATCTAGCGATAAACTCTGATACTTCCTTTTTCATGCCCGACCAATAAAACAATCTACGAAGCTCCTGGTACATCTTATTACTGCCTGGGTGTACAGAGAGTGGATTATAATATGCTTCGTAAATAACCTTACTGTGCAACTGAACATCTATGGGTACGTACAACCGGCCATTAAAGTATAACACATCTCTATTTCGAAGCTCAAAATATGAGGCCTCACCTTGGCAGACCTGATCGATCCGACTTCTCATCCAATCATTTAAACTCTATAGCCTTTTGACTTCACCTACCAGCTTAAGCTCAACTCGCAACTCGGCTAGCAAACCATCATCACTGGATAAACTTAAACATGATAGGAGGGCTCACAACTTAGTCATTAATTTTCTACTCAAGGCATCTTCCACTATATTCACCTTTCCTGGATGATAATCTATCACGCAATCGTAGTCCTTAAGAAACTCAACCATCCGTGTTGTCCAAGGTTCAACTCCTTCTAAGTGAGAAGATACTTGGGGCTCTTGTGATTAGTGAAGATATGACACTTCTCGCCAAAAAAATAGTGTTGCCAAATCTTCAAAGCAAACACTACTACTGTTAGTTCAAGGTCATGGGTAGGGTAATTACACTCATAAGGCTTAAGCTGACGGGACGTGTAAACTAAAACTTTACCTTCTTGTATCAAGACGCATCCAAACACATTCAAAGAAGCATCGCTGAAAACTGTGAAGTCCTTACCCGACTCTGGTTGGGTCAATATTGGGTTTGGGCCAAGATGACCTTTAACTGCTCGAAGCTCTCCTATCACATTTCATTCCATACAAAGGGAACTCCATTCTAAAGTAATTTTTGTTAGCGGGGCTGCTATCATCGAGAATCCCTGAACAAACCGACGATAGTACCCGGTTAACTCGAGGAAACTATACATCTATAACATATTTTTAGGGGGCTCTCACTCAATTATATCCCAAATTTTCTGAGGGTTGACTTTGATGTCGTCGGTTGAAAAGACATGACCCATAAATGCCACATTCGATAGCCCAAACTCATACTTTTTGAATTTGGCATACAACTGTATGTCTCTAAAGGTCTAAAGAACAATACAGAGATGTTGATCATGCTCGTCCTCTGATTGGGAGTACACTAGGATGTCGTATATAAACACCATCACAAATTGGTCCAAGAATGGGTGGAAAACACGATTCATTAGGTTTATGAATGTCGTCAGGGGGGTTTGTGAGTCCAAACATCATAACTAAAAACTCATAATGATCATACCTTGTTCTGAAAGTCGTATTCGCCACATCCTCATCCTTGACTTTTAACTGATGGTAGACTGTATAAGATCAATATTTGAGAAGACACATTCCCCTTTGAACTGGTTGAAGTGGTCGTCTATCTTGGGGAATGGGTAACGGTTCTTGATGGTCAACTTATTTAACTGTCTATAGTTGATGCACAAACTCATCGACCCATCTTTCTTCTTAACGAATAAGACTGACACTCCCTAATGAGAGATACTAGGTCGGATGAAACTTTTCTCTATTAACTTCTGAATCTAAGCTTTTAACTCCTTAAGTTCATTTGGTGTCATGCGATAGGGTGTAATAGACACCGTGTTGAACCTGGTATTACTTAAGTATCAGACACTAATGCACGCTCGGGTGGTAAACCCGACAACTCCTCTGGGAACACATCGAAAAAGTCTCGCACTGTTCGGATATCCCCTAGTGTAGGTGCTAAAATTCGAGTGTCGACCACATGAGCCAAGAAGGCCTCACACCCACAGTCGATTATCCTTTGGGCTTTCAAAACTGAAATAATCCTCGTCTGATGGGATCTTTCACTAGTCATCACCAACTTGGTTCCATCGATAGCTATGAGCTTAAGCCGTATGGTTTTGCACCTCAAACTGGCATCGTGTTCGGTTAACCAATCTATCCCTAAGATCAAGTCGAACTCCAATAAGGGTAACTTCATCAAGTCCACTGGAAAGGTCTGATCATGAATCCTCATTGGGCATCGTCTGAAAATTTATCCACCAGGATGTCTAAACCTAGTGGGTTAGAGACTCGAACACCTATCTCTAGGTTCTCTACCAGGATTTCTATTTCTTGAACTAAGTTAGAGAAAATATAAGAATGGGTGGAACAAGGGTCTATAAAAGTGGTAACTGGTAAAGAAAATACCATAAATGTATATGATATGACATCTACTGCATCACAATCCTCACAGGCTCACATTGCATACTGTTGAGAGGCCACTCTTGGCTTGGCCCCAGTCTCATGTCTAGCCATCCTATGACTCTGCTGCCTAAACGTAATGCCACCTCCTCTAGTTGACCCTCGACCTCTTTGTACTAATGGTGTCGATCGCTAAGTCACCATTGATGCTCTACCCTAAGCTCCTGGGCAGTCTCAGGCGAAATGGCCCATGGATCCATAACTATACAACCTCTATATCCCAACTGATATGTCCATGTGTGCCTTTTTCACACTTAGAACATAGGGTAAAGGTGAACCCTTCAGTCAGTTCATTAGCAACACTCCCAAACACTAAGTTTAATGGCCTTCTCCTCGATTCAGACCTACGTCTATGACCCAAACTTTGTTCGGTCTTTCGATACTGTAATGTTGGGGGCCTTGAAGAACCCTAATTATCTCTAACTCTCTTGGCTGGGGTATGAGAAGGCCTTGCTGACTCAACGACTTTCCTAACATATCTTACATCCTCATTAGACTGTCTAGTCTGTCTATCTAGGGCTCTCTCAATTATTTTTACCCGATGGGACAGTTGAGCAAAGACTATGGGAGGATCTACTATAAAATAGGTCAAAATGTCACCCTTAAGGTCATCTCTGAACTGATTATAGCGACGCTCCTCAGTCGAGATCAACTCTACTACATATTACTAAGTCGGAGAAACTCTCGCTCGTACTTCCCTACTGAGAGGTCACTTAGAGTCAAGTGTAGGAATTACTCCATCAGATCATCGATATGGATCTGTTCGATGTACTTCTCTCTGAACTGGGTGAGGAACTGCTCCCAAGTAGGTCACTCTAGCTCCATCGTCAACTCTACAGTCTCTTACCACTCTGTCGCATCACCCTTAAGTAGGGAGGTGACGCACTCTAAGTTATCCGTAGGGACAAGATACAACTGTCTGAGGGTACGGAGCGTCTCTTTGAGCCACTAATCCGTCGCGATAGGATCATCATCCTCAAAACTGAAGAACTCGGTGTTCTTATATCGGCAGAGTCGTTCTACTGGGGACTTCTAAGGAATAAGCACTGGTCGAACTAGGGTACTGGTGGTGGAGGTGGTGCAGCTGAAGAACTAGGGAGAGACATAGCTATCTGCCTAAGTATGGAGGTGAGGTCCCTGAAAAAGGTAGCCTCATATACCACTACATCTGCTGGATATTGATGGTAGTAATTATCCTGGATAAATCCCTCACTAATATTGGGTAGTGGTGAGGCATGACTTGTCTCTATCACCCTGGTTATAATCTGGGGGAGTCTGTTATAGGGTCTATTTGAAATTCCAAAATGAATGGGTTTATTATCGTTATTACAGTCAATTAATGTTTTATGAAGATACAAAGGAGCATAAATAGGGCCTTAGATATGTTTATAACTATAAAAACATGAAATATACCATGAGAATGCTTTAAGCTTATGCAATATACCACATTTCATCTAAATGACTTACATATGGTATAGTTGAGTCAAGAGTGAGTTGCATTTGATGTTATACTGCTAGAAACGTCAAAGATTAAACCCAAAGTAGACTTTTCTTTCCCTTTAACATTGGAGCCTTTTCCAACCTCTTGCACTAAACAAAACTAAATAAAAGGGTTATTAACTATTACTAGGGATTAATAAGGGTTTTAAAACACTTCATAAGGCTGGAAATATCTGAAAAATGGGTTAGAACCATCTAGTTTTTTAAATCCTTCTAAAACCCGTTTTTACAACTACGACTAAAACTGATCTTAAGGTCTCAAATGAAAGCTCCAGAGGTGTTGATTTTGGTTCTTACCTTGGTTTGATGAAATAGATTGAAACTAATCCAAAGCCTTCACCTTTGCTCAATAGAAGGATAAAAAGGAGGAAGAAAACTTGGGAGAAGAAGACAAATGTGAAGAAAAAGAAAAGCTGGAAATTCAAACAATGATATCACCAATTTTTAATGAAAATCAACTTTATTTTTGAATAAGGGTATAATTGTATCTTTAGTCCTCAAATTCTGACTGCAGATTAAAAACACCCTTTTTTATTTCACTATTGGGCTCAACTCAAGCCCAAACCCTCTTCAATTTGGGTCAATGCTTCCTACAAGCTAAGGAATTAAACCAAGGCCTATCTCAGGTTAGCCTAATACTTCTAACCTAGGATTCGGGGCATTACACGTACACCCTCCAAAGCCTAGCATGGATGAACAAAGTAAGTCCAAGAGAGCGCTAGAAACCTAACAGGAAATTGCCATAATGGTCATGTAAGGTTTTGCCTGAAACACCCCTTTGAGATAGTTGAGAAATTGCCCCATCGGTATTGAGACATACCCATCTTGATTAAGGGGGCTACCACTGTATCATCACATAGATTCCAATGCTGATGATGTTAATAGAAGACACCGAGTTGTGGTAGTGTTTGGCCCATGAAACGCTAATAGGGAGAAGAAGAGAGGAATTCGAGCGTATCACTTGGAAGTAGCAAGATTACGCCCCTTCCAAATCGACCAAACAACAAACGCAAAAAACATGTTCAAATGACAATCAAAGTAGAGATGAAAGTTACTTTGAAGGTTCATAATAATCTAGTCTTCCAAATTGGCTGCAAAGAAGGTGATGGTCTACTGAAGACTCAAAATTGAAACCCAAATTGCATTCGTGATAGTGCAGTCGTGAAGAATATGGAGAAGCATTTTTTCCGGGGCTAAACAATCGGGGCACAAGGAGTCCTAAGAGTAACCTCTATGACATCTGTTATGATTGGATAGCAGGTTATTTCTTTTGATGAGCCAAAGGAAACTGCGGATGCGCTCAGGAACACGAAGCTCCCAAATGAGTTTCCAGTTTAGATTTTGGGCATCCCAACAAGGTTTAGAGATAACTTGGAAGACACTCTTAACAGTGTATATAATTAAGCGCTTGGGGTTAGAGAAGATGATTGATGAGATCAAAGTTCCAAGAGCTATAAAAAGAGTAACAATAGATAGCTTTAATAAGGGATTAAACATAGCATCTGGGTTCCTCCAATTGAGCAAAGAACCTAAATGAGGAATCCAATTATCTAACCAAAATCTGATTGAGTTGTCATTTCTAATGGTTCAAGCGACGAAGGCATAATAGGATGGCCAAATAGAGGCAAGAGAACGCCACAACCAAGAGAAATTAGAGTGGGCGATGCTATCCAGCAATGGTCAAGCATATGGTACTTCGCACGAAGGAGGGAAATATAAAACTAATCACCATTAAAGATAAGGGTATTACACACTTTCATCAAGAAGACAGAGTTGACAGTCATTGTGGACCTTATACCTAACACATCAATGCATATTGGTTGGCAAAGCTTACTCTATTTAACAAGTGGTACCCAGTTAGAAAAATAAAAAAATAACTAAGAAACTCGAACAAAGATAGAATCAAATAGATCTGATCGCATCAGTAAACAAACCACAAAAGGGAATTAAGCTACTCAAAGACTACCAACAAACTATAAATCAGACTTAAACGATATTCATAATTATCCATGAACGCATAACGGGTTTCTAAATTCAACCCGAGGGTCCAAACAGTGAAGATCAACAGTATAACATATAAGCATCATCTTGATCAGTTATGACAATCTCAAATCAACACTTAAAAAATATAAGTGAAAATAATGGTCAAACAATAAAAAAAATGCCAAAAAAGTGTCATAAAAGCATATAAAAATATGACATACATGCAAACTTATTAAAAATTAAAAATAAAAGAAAATAAATGGATAAAAAATACCGAAAATCGAAAATAAACATTAAAGTTGATGCCACTGTCGATCAATAAAGATGAAAAACGTAATGAATTGTGTACCAACGAGAGAAAACTAGTACACGTATGCATATTCGAAAATTATAAACTCTTTTTTAAGCAAATTTAGAAATGATAAATTCTAATTTGAATAAATTTAAAATTATTTGACCCATTTTCGAACAAGTGAAACATTATAAACTCTTTTTTAATAAAGTGATTTTAGTAATTAAGAGATTTTAGTAATCAAGAGATTTATTATTATCCCTTAAAATTTTAAGTTCGAGCATCACATATGCAGAATATAAGTGTTTACTTTCAAATGATTGAGAATATTTTAAATATATATATTTTATTAAATATATATTATCAAATATAATATTTTTAATAGATATAATAGAGGTAATTTATAATTATATATTCTTATATTTTATCTATAAATTAAGAGACTAACAATAACCGATTGTCTAACGGAATAAAAAATTAAATTTCTTAAATAAGATTTATGAATTTGAATTCAATACTATAAATAAAATAAATTTAAATAAAAGAATTGTATGATATGAACCTCTACAGTATTTGTATCCATATACATGTGAAAAAATCATACTTATCCATAGAAAATTATTTTAGTTTAACAACTTGTTTGTAACTTATAGAAAAGAGTGACCCCTTTTTTGTAGTTTTCCCATAAATAAATAAAGCACGTGGAAATAAATAACATTAATATCGTACTTGGTGTTTTAGAACTTCAGATAGATCTAAAACTCCAAGCAAAATCTTCTCTCTTTTTTCAAATTATTTTATCAGGTAATCATTTATTCTCTTCCAAATCCCTAATTATAACCCTTTTTCTGTCCTTCAATTTTGAGATTGGGGTTCGTTCCTTCGTTTCCTTCAGTTTTTTTTGGTAAATTGTATTGTTTTTATATAATTTTAACAGAGAAGAGTCGATGTTCAACCCAGTCGATGTTCTTTAATTTTAAATTTTAACAGAGAAGAGTCGATGTTCAACCCAAGCAAAGTCTTTTTTTTTTCTTTTAATTTTAGAATTTGAATTGTTTCTGGGTATTTTTTGATTTAGAAGAAATTCCCGTTTTTATATATAAAGGAAGCAAATCATGAATCTTTCGTTTATTGTAGCTTCCATTTGTTCTTGGATTATCTTAAAATGACGAAATAAAAATGATTTAATGTAGTTTGTTTGGGTAAATTTTATTTACTTCTTGGAAAAATCATATATATGAAGTTCATGTATTTTTCTTTTTTTGAAGGTCTTTTGGGATGAGGAGGTACAGTCCTCAATACTATAGTCCTCCCAGGAGAGGCTATGGAGGCCGAGAAAGGAGTCCTCCGAGGAGGGGATATGGTGGCGGCGGCGGTGGTGGTGGTGGAGGGTATGGTAGAAGGAGGGAGCAGAATAATGGAAGCCTTTTAGTTAGAAACATTCCTTTGGATTGCAGGTAAATCTTTCATCATAATAGAACCCCTTTTTGTTTTTAATTGTTGGTTAAATGAATTGTTTGATTACTGTTTGCAGACCGGAAGAACTTCGAATTCCGTTCGAGAGGTTCGGACTTGTTCGAGATGTGTATATTCCGAAAGATTACTATACAGGGTTTGTCATTTCATACTTCAAGAATTTTGTGTACTGCATCATTTCTTTGCTGTGGTTCTCAATAGAAGTTCATTGTTTTGTAGTTTATGATTGTTCAAGGAGCATTAGATTATGTTTGATTAATTTTTATTGGGGTAAAGGACGAGCTTTGTGTTTTTTTCTTCGAAACCTAAGATTTTGGTTCGGGAAAGTTCCCTGTCATATTTGGTGCAACATCTAGTGTTTGCAGTACTTTGTGTTTGTTCAAGGTATGAGGTTCGTGCTTTTTCATCGCTGCCTGGGCTTGTTGGTTCGGAAAATTTATTACACTGCAACAATTGGTTTAACTTTCATATGGGTCAAATAATTGTCAGTTGCTACGATCATTTGAAAGTGTTTACTTTTTATATCGGATTGGAAATTGCATAAACCTACGATAAACCAATCTATTTTCTTATTCTTCTTCTTCTCTGATCATTGCAAAACAAGCTTTTAGGGTCGGAAAATGGGGTTTAGACTGCTGTTTATGAACTTTAACAACTTGTTGCCTGCTTAGATCGTGACTTAGTTTATATACTGGTAGAGAAAATGCATAAGCCTGCATAAATCGATTATCTTTTTCTTTAGCTTTTGCCATTACTAGTTATTACATTGGCAAGCTTTAGACATTTTGTAAGACTGCCGTAGGTTATCGGCTGATTGGATTTTTATGTTCTCGTCTTAGATCTTTAGTCATTGTATGTCGGTATATGTAAATGAAATTAATTCCTTTTCAATTGCTTTTCGTGCTATTTCTTAAAACACATTTTCCATTTTTCTGGAGTGAATTCAATTTTGAACTGGTTTATCAGGGGGTAATTGGTTTGAAGTAAAAAACAAGCCGAAGCCCCACATTTGATGAATCCGAGGATTTTACGGGTAATGATCATATCAAGAATGTTCCTTTATGAAGCGAAACTATATAATTACACAATCAAATAGAGGTTTAATGAGGAAGAAGATGGGTATCCGAGGCCCAACCAATTGAAGGCTACTCGAAGATATATTTAGTTTGAGGGAAATTGTTGATGTCTAGTGCTTCTTATATTTACAAGCATGTGAAGATTTTTCGACTCACTTGCTCCTTTTGAAGTTGCCTTTGATTTTGAATATTAAGGGAAAAGGTCAGCCACTAAGCCCATTCTTATGTAAATTCCGACCACGTTTGTCGTCGTGCTTTGGAGACGTATTTAGACATGTAAAGTATTCAAAGTATGGCCTTGTAGCGGTGACATAGCGTTATAGTTTCAACATCCCCGTCTCATTTTTTTAACTTGCATGCTTAAGTGAGGGCTTTCTGTATACTTCCCGCAGGGCTCCGCGCGGGTTTGCATTTGTGCAATTTGTGGATTCTTATGATGCTGCTGAAGCTCAATGGCGCATGAATGGTAAAATATTCGGCGGGAGAGAGATATCCGTCGTTGTTGCTGCTGAGAATAGGAAAAGGCCTGAGGAGATGCGGCATAGATCTAGGCTAAGGTAATCCTTATCTCACGCACTTGGTTTCCTGTTATACTTATATTTACCTGGAGATTTATATGGCATGGAATTCTTCAGAGAACCATCAGGATATGGAGGACGATCGTCTTACTATGGTATGTTATTTCGTATGTTACAATCTTTTTCGTAGCTTATTACTATTTACTGTTTTCCTCTTATCCTCTTTCTTAATGACATATCCATATTCGATGCTCGTACCGAAGTACGAGTGTGGTGAAATTATTAGTCTGTTACTGTGCTTTGGATTTGTGCAAATCATCATTCATTCACTTTTCTGCTTTGTGATAAAAAGAATAACCTATGATAATTCCTCATTTGATGTGACAGGGCGTTCCCGGTCTCGTTCAATATCTCCAATGCGCTCTCCTCGCCGTCCATCGGGTTCTAGAAGCCGATACCGCTCAAGGTAAGCTATCAAATTGCCATCATATCCTTGAGTGTTTAGCAAATAATTGATGATTAGATATCGATTTTGTCAGGTCATACTCCCCCGCCCCAAGACGACGAGGAAACTATTCTGTTTCACCTGATAGAAGGCACGGAGACCATCCGAGATCTCCGAGAGGTCCTCCACAAGATCGTGGTGGTGATTACAGTCGCAGATCATATTCTCCAGGATATGAAAATGCTGGTGGAAATGGCTACGGCGAGTAAGTCACGGTCATAGTTACGTGTTATATTGCAACCCATATATTCATTCATTTTGAGTCCGCCGTCATGAACTATCACATGCACGACCGGACATCGCGGTCTTTATTCCGTAGTTCCATTAATATTCATGACCGATATTTACTGCATCTAACCACAATAACATTCACTATGTCAACAACAACGATAAACACAATGTGACTAAATGATTTTATCTTCCGACCTTGATTGTTTCGAGATTTTTCGTTCTCGTTCTTAGGACTGATTCGGTTTGTTTTCAAATACTCCACCTGTAGGAATTCTGCATACGAGTCCAAGGAAGCACCACGGGCTGCACAGGCGCCATCACCGCCTCCTAGAGCATCAAGGTCGCCGCCTGGATCCCGGTCTAGGTCGGCTGACCGTTCACCAAGGCGCAGCCCATAAACGGAGTCGACGGCAGAAAGGGGATAACCTCATGGTCTTAATATGGTAGAATTTATGCTAGTAGGCTTGTTTATCTATCTCATTGTGCTCCTAGGTTTTTAGCTTTATTGAATCAAACCAAAATTGAAGTATTTTGCTTCCTTTTTAGTACAAAAGAGATTGTGGACGTTGAAATTCGAATTTCGGATCAATTAAATATCACCTCATAGAGGTTGTTTTATTGATTCTAGTTCATATGATTATTGGTATCGACTATTTAACTGAGTTGCCTTTTTTTTCAAAAAAAAAAATTCAATCTTTTTTTCATATAAATACGATAGTTTTATTAAAAATAGAAAATATCTAAAATTGCAATAAAGATTTATAAGTATAATATAAACGTAAATAAAATTATAATTAGGTTATTTTCCTATAATTATTAACACAAAAATTAGTCACTTAGATAACACAAAGACCGATTAAGGAAAATGTTAAAAATCTTAACTAAAAAGTTCGAACAAAATAAAGATACGAACAAATATAACTGCATCAACAAACAAACCACAAAAAGGGATAAAGTTACTGAAGGTCACCGACAAATCGCAAATCAGAGTCAAGCGACGTGAAAAAACTATCTGCTAACGCTAAACGTGTATCCAAATCAATCCGAGGGTCCAAAGCAGAGAAGATCATCATGATAACAAATAAGTATCATCTTGATCAGTCGTGACGATGTTAAATTCAACACTAAGAAAAAAAGATAAACGAAAACAACTACAAAAAAACTGTAAGCTACCAAAGAGCAGAGAAAATGTGCCACAAAGACAGATATAAACGTGTCATAAAGGTAGAGAACATATCACAAAGACAGAGAACATATCACAAAGGCATAATTATTCTTATTAATAAAACTTAAATAATAAAGAAAAAAGATAACCGACGGGCAAAAATAAATATCAAAATTGGTGTCACCGCCGGTTAAATAAAATTAAAGAAAAAATTAAATTGATCAATAAAATTGACACAAATTTTAAAGAAAGAAAATAAAAGAAAAAAAAGAGAAAATCTTTGATTTGTTTTAAATATGTTTTTCATTATAAAATAAAATTTGAAATTGAGTAAAATACTTTTTTGAAATTAAATATGCTTTCATCATTGGTATTTATCTTATTTTTTTTATCTTAATTTGTCATTAATTTTTTTTAGAAAGACATCTGAAAAATATAAAATTAAGATTTATTTATGGAAGATTCATATTCCATTCTCCAAAATGTTTTTTTAATAAGGGAAACTGAGTTTTATTGATAAAAAGGAAGAATCAAAATTATAATATATTTAAAGAAAAAATTGGAGACAATCACCAAAAATTCGACAGTCATTAAAAATTCATACATAAAATTAAAATATTAAAAATCAAAGATACAAAGTGAATGAAGCCTTTCAAATATTAAAACAATTTAGTACATTCATAAAATTTATCGTCTCTGTCGAACAAAATGTTTTACGATGTGATAAAAGAGTGACGGAGACAGTCAAAAAAAATTTATACATAAAATTAAAATATTAAACTAAAAATATAAAGAGGATGAAGTCTTCCAAACATAAAAATTATTGGCAAAATCTAAGTTCTTAGGTGAAAGCGAGAAAGTCTCAAAATCGAATCTCTAATTTCGAAGGTAAATTCTTTTTTTTTCCATTTACAGCTTATTTTTTTCATGAAAATCTTTAATTTTGTTGCAATAACAGTGAAACCCCATGGACTTCAGTCAAATCCTTTTCTTTTTTCTTTTTCAATAAATATTTTGATCATTTGGTTCCTGCATGTTTTAATCTAACTCATTTTCTTGTAATTCTAGCTTTGTTTGTTTCCTGGGAAATGTAGTTCAAGAAGAAAGGGAAAAAAATACTTTGTTTGTTTAGGTACAGCGATCCAATTGTTCTGTTTGCTTCTACTTTTATGTTCACTTTTGTCTATTGATGGAAAAAGGGAAATGATAATCATTCAAAAATAGCAAATTACTTGTATGCAACACTGATTCTAACCATTCAAATTAAAACTATGCTATTCGGATTTGCTTGTATGTTAATCGGACTCGAGTCTAATTGTCTAAAACAAGCATGGAATTAGGGTTATCATAAACAATCCACTAGACAGTGTGCATGGTTTCTGTTTGGAGGAGAAATATCTTTAAAATCTTGTAATTTAATCGGCTTCTTAATTATACAAACATATAAGGAAGTGCATATTTTTATATTTGGTTAAGTTTGATTTTCTGCTCCCTTGTTACCTTTTAGATTACTTAGAGAACGGATATCAACTCGAGACTCGAGGGATGATCAGATGTTGCAGAATCTGAAATGGGAAAGTACGTAGATAAGTGTTATGAACAACTAAAGAAGGGGAAATACATTATCAAAGTTTCGGACGAAGTTTATTTGTGCCCCTATTGTCCCCAGAAGAAAAAGCAGCATTACTGATACATCGATCTTGTCCGGCATGCTTCTGGTGTGGGAAAAAGTAGTTCTGCGGAAAGAAGACCGATAGAGAAAGCCAATCACCTGGCTTTGGCAAAGTATTTGGAAAAAGATCCCTGCCTGCGGTTAGTTCATCAAAATCTGTGGCTCAAGAGGCTCCTCGTACTGGTCGTGACCATGATGAGAATGGGATGTATGTTGCCAAAACTTCGGATGGAAAGCCAAATTACTGATACATGGATCTCGTCCAGGATGCTTCTGGTGTGGAAATAGTACTGCAAAATCACCAATAGAGAAAGCCAATCACCTGGCCTGTGGTTGGTTCATCAAAACCTGCAACTCAAGCTGATCCTCTTAGTGGTCGTGACCAAGATGAGAAAATTGTTTGGCCGTGGACAGGAATTATGGATAATATCCTTACTCGAAGGTTAGAAAATGGGCGATCTATAGGAAGAGATGGATCCACATTGAAGGTTGAGTTGATCAGGAGAGGGTTCAACCCCATAAGAGTTAGCCCACTTTGGAATTACGATGGTCATTCACGGATTGCTGTGGTGGAATTCAATAAAGATTGGCCAGGGCTACAGCATGCCTTGTCATTTGAGGAGGCTTACAAGGCAGATCACCATGGAAAAAAGGATTAGGGTGCTAATAATGATGGTAAGTATGGTCTTTATGCTTGGGTCGTTCATGCCGATGACTACAAGTCAAGTAGTAGTATTGGAAAACATTTACGCAAGACTAGTGACCTTAAGACCATCCCCAAGCTCATGGAGGAAGAAGCCAGGAAACAAGATAAACTTGTATCATATTTGACAAACATCACCGAGACTAAAAACAAGATAGACTTGTCTCATAGTTCATATGACCACATTTAAAATTGATTCCATCAGAGTTCAATGGTACTATTGGCAATAGTTTTGGTGATTTCCTACCATATATTTGTTTTATAAAAAGGGCATAGAAATGAAAATTCCAGCATCTTCTATTTTAGTTGCATTCCCAGGAATGTCGACCAAAGAGTTACCGGAAAATGTCAATGCTAACATGTTTCTTCTTCCAGAACATTGTTCAAAATAGTGCATTACAATTGGCTGCTTTGGAACGAAAAAGGGCTGATGAAAATTTAATGAAACTGGCTGAAGATCACAAGGTCTGTTTGTCATTCGAGCCTTTTATTTCGTTTTAATGCCACAATACTTGATTGTTTTAGAATGCTGAGAATTGATGATATGACTGGACCATCAATTTTCCAGAGGCGGAAGGAGGAACTTCACAATAGGATAATTCAACTGGAGAAACAATTAGATAAAAAAACAAGCATTAGAACTGGAAATCGAGCAACTCAGAGGGTCATTGGATGCAATTAGGCCAATGAGAGATGAAGATGATGTAGTTCTGATAATAATGGAAACAAATCTAAAGGAGTTGAAAGAAAAGGGGAGAGAGCTTGAAGATTTTGAAGCATTGAACCAAAGTCTAATCGTAAGCGAACGTAAGAGCAACAATGATCGGCAGGAAGCTCGCAAAGAACTAATCAACGTGAGTTCTTTTTCTTTTCTACTTTTAAAATGCTTGCCCTGCATTGATTTGTGAACTATTTTGCGATGCTCATCGTATAATTTCTTAAAATTCTGCTTCAGCATTTTATGGTTTGATCGTACTTGCCGGTCCGGAAGCACTAATTCAATCACTTTGTAGGGACTAAGAGAAATGTCCAGTCATGGAAATATTGGTTTCAAGAGAATGGGAGAACTCGACAGTAAACCGTTCCTCAAAGCAATGAAGAGAAGGTATAATGAGGAACTAGCCGAGGAGAGAGCTTCAGAAATGTTCTCATTGTGGGAGGAATATCTGAAGGATCCAGACTGGCATCCTTTTAAACGTATTAAACTCGAGGGAGACGAATAGTAGGTCTTTATTTCTTGACTCCTATTAAATTTGTTCTGCAACCCCAATTTCTCAACTTTACAATGTTGATACGAAGATGTCGTATATCATATACTAGAAGCTTGCGAAACACTCCTCGTTTGTTTCTTGTTCCGTTGCTTTCCTGTCGGTATGAAACGGTTTGCTCAAAGTTTGATAATGCTGGTTCAGGAAGTGATCGACGATGAAGACGAAAAGCTAAGATATTTGAAGGATGAGATGGGCAATGAAGTGTACAAGTCAGTCTTTTCGGTTATAAATGAAATAAACGAATACAACCCGAGCGGAAGGTACGTAACTTCCGAGTTATGGAACTATGGAGAAGGAAGAAGGGCAAGCCTGCAAGAAGGTGTTGAATGTTTACTGAATCTATGGAACTCCACCAAACGCAAACGATGAATGATCTGAAGGGATGCTAACTTATTTCTCAGGTAATTATTGTCGAAAATAGTGAAACTCTTGAGATGTTTGTCGTAAAGATGAATCACCGATCATTTCTTTCACCGTTTTATCACAGGAACTGATTTTCCGACCGAAAAATCAAAGAACACATGTCTGTAAGTATGTTCGAATCCCTTGTTAAACCATTTTCAGCTTCCAGGTGTATAACAATATACCTTTCTGGGATGGAACTGCATTCATTTTAGCACGATGAATTCAAGCTCATTATTTTCGTATCGGGATCGGGATCGGGATCGTAAACGATGCTGATGTAAGACATGTCGACTTAATGTAGTGTCGAGAAAACGTTGGAGAACTTTAATGTTACTGTGAAGTTGAGCTCCATATCCGACATGGATACCGGGATATGATCTTTCGAATATATGGAAATACTTAGAAA